AACCGCTCCAAAAATTTCATATATCACTACATTAGCATCGTGAATGGGGAAGAATGAATGAGGCTGCCAACGAGATACCACAATCTTAACCCTAATTATGCCAGATTGAGGGTCATGTTGATATGAACGTCCGAAAATCGGTTAGCTGCTGACGACGGCGGCACGACTCCGTATGTCGAAAAGTGGTAAAGTGGTACCGGGCCAAAGTTTGGAACATAAGGGACTGAAAGTGGAACCGGGCCAAAGTTTAGGGACGAAAATTATGATTCTGCCTAATATTTCATATTTAGTGGAATCGGGTCAAAATTTAGTACATGTTTCCAACTAGGTCAATATCTGGATTCTGAAAAGCTGCGGTAAGTAAACAAAATCTGGCAGTAGCAAAAAAAATTGGCCCATTATTCAGTGCAGCAATCTTGATTCAAGCAGGCCCAATAGAAACAAAAAATACGGTTAAAAATTAAAACTAATTATAAAATAATGGACTTAGGGTTTATGAATTGGGCCCAAAATTGAAAGTTACTAACCGAGCACATTGCACCCAGCCCTAAAAGATAAGCTTGTAATTAAATGCTGCATTTTAATTAATTGATTGTGTAATCTGCATACATGTGTAATAAATTGAATTAAATAAATTTCTTTGATTTATTTAATTATAAAATCATTCAAATATTTTATAAATTCATCTGTAAGCAGATTACATTTTTGATAAATATCATTATTAGAGTGTTGTTATATACAATTTACTAGTGTAAATAATAATAATTAAAAAAAAAACCTAATTATTAATAGGTCAAAGACAGAATCATGAAATGAATATTGGATGATTAGGGAGAATATATATTATTCCTCTTAATTATGAGGCGGATTTAGCGGCGTTTGAAGAATCGCAAACACGTTTTTTAGTTATAAAAAATGAAATATACAAACAACGCTTTTTATGTGTTCGACCGCATAAGACTAATTCGCTTTAGCTGCCTAATGACAGCTCTTAATTCGCTTTTAGCCCACTAATCTTTATTTCCCGGAGTCACATGTTGTGATTAAATGTGTTAAGAATTAAAATTAATGTAATATTATGGGACCTATAATTTGATAGCATGTGCATGAGAAGTTTCCTATGAATTTATATTATTATTCTTTTTATTAATAAATTATCAAAAGTATATTCCACACAATAATGTGACTAGAATTAGTTTTGAGAAGAATCTAAATTTTTAAATGAATAGATTAAACTTGTATAAATCCCTTCATGTAGAAAAAAAATTGGCACAAAATTCCCCTATATTTTATTACATAATATGATAATATCATCCTATAATTAATTAACGGTCAAAAAAAAAAATACAAGGAAAAAAAAACTAAAATAAAATAAATGAAATTTGATTTGATGCAAATTTCCTTAATGGAAGTTATTATGTTGCTAATCCTTCTACAAAATGTACTTATCCATGTATACTTCTTTCATTATCATATTATTTATTGAAAGCAAAAAAGCAAATTAATTAATAGTTGTAAAGGAAAATATATATATTAAATAAGAAAAAAGTTCCAAAAGATGCTTATATTTTCAATTTTATACCCTACACAAGTAGTTATAAATAATTGAAAGCTTATCTAACTAATTATCTTATAAACAGGCTGTTAATATTTTATATATAGCTGGACCATAACCTTTTGTTCTGTTCCTCTTGTTCCTTTTTAATTAATTTATTTATTTATCGGTGTAAATGAAAGAATTAGTTAGACCATAAGCAAACAACTATTATTGGATAATCAGTCACTATTAATAAATCGAAATTGAAATAAGCAATAAGTTAATAACATATTTTTTTTTAAATAAACCATGACATAAATGAAATTAAAATAGCAAGTGAAAGTGACGCGCCTCGTCTGCCACCTGGCAGTCAATTAAATCTGCACTAGATGCAAAAACCACGCCTGTCAGAATTCTTGTCAGACAGCAACCTTAATCACATTTAGGATGGGTCGGATTAATTAATTTAATTTAGACTAAGAGTTAAGTAACTAGCAAGTGTTATTGAATAGTTACATATAGTTGTAAATTAAGTTCAATATCCATCGACCGAATATATTACTAACACCTACCATTTAGTCAACACGAAAAAACACCCGTTTGTCTAAGCTCCGGTAATAAGCCGTTACGTCTTGATTTTAGAATTAATAATTAAATGTTTATCAAACACTCTGAAAAAACTTAGAAACTCTTAAACTAAACATCTTATAAAAAAAAATTAACCGCTTATAAAGTTAGCCAAACACCCTCTTAACAGTGATAATGGAACGAGGCTTTTTTTTTTTTTCATTTTTCAATATTGTTGAATTACGATAATTATTTTTAATAGGGTGATTGATTATTTTAGTGATTTGAATGCAATCAAAAAGCAAGGTTTAAGAAATACACATGATGCAATCATTTTCTGAACCATATATTTTTTTTTTATTTGGGCCAAATAATCGACATAATTTAAAGAAGTTAATTATGTGAAACCTTCTTCAATTTTGATCATTATTTTTTTTTCTGAAATTATAAATATCTTTTTTGTACAAAATAAGAGTATCTTTTTTCCAACAGTAGTATTTAATAATTATTATGACAATTTTAGTTTTATCCACTACCATTAAAAAAAAAAGGGGAAACTACAGATAAATCCCTAATCCAAAACTCAACACACAGATCAGTCCCTAGGTAGTTTCCCCAAGCAATTCAGTCCCTACTCACGCGCCTAACATGCAGTTCAGTCCCTAATAAAATGTGCAAATACTAAAATACCCTTTACTTTATACTAATTTTACATAACTTATTTCCAACCTCCAACGCGCCGTTTGTGTTACACGCTCTTTGCCCGTTACATTTCAAAGAAGGAAGAAACAACGAAGCACGAAGAATCAACAAAACGCAGAAAAATTATACAACGAAAGGAAAAATAAAAATAAACAAACCCATTTCTCGACAATGGTGAAGCAGGGTAAACAACAAGGTTTGATTTTTTATTTTCTTTCATTTTCTTGGAAACAGACCCATTTGGGTGTTGCTTAAGCTTGCAAAAAGGTTTATTTGTTGTAGAATTGCATGATTTTGAACATATCCTCTCATGGGTATTATGCCTCGACTTTATTCGGTGTTTTCCCTAATCATTAAATCGGTTCCAATATCTGTTTTTCTGTTGTTTGGGTTTGCAAATATCATTTATTTGTTGTCGAATTTCATGATTTTGTAACAGTTTCCTCATGGGTATTATTCTTCGGTGACATTAGCATGTCCCCAAAGGGTTTAACAAGGGTTTCATATAGGATATGGGAAAGAGGCTTATTGTATTTTTCGTACTGGTTCTATAGTATGTGTCATGGACAGTAATGGTATTAATAATGCATTTAGATGGTATTGACACAGGGTACTCGAAGTACTGTCCCGAAAGCATTTAGATGGTATTGACATATGGTACTAGAAGTATAATGTTTGATGCTTCTGTAGTATAAGTCATATGCCATAATAGTATTACTAGTGCCTTTGAATGGTATTACTAGTGACTTTGGATGGTATTGACATATGGTACTAGAAGTATAATGTTTGATGGTCCTGTAGTATAAGTCATATGCCATAATAGTATTACTAGTGCCTTTGAATGGTATTACTAGTAACTTTGGATGGTATTGACATGTGGAACTTTATAGTACGTTGTATTTGTTATAATTGTAGTTTTATGTGTATGTAATTGCAGGAATTGATGTAAAAGAAGATTGCAGTCAATGATCAAAGCGTACCATATTTTTTGATGAATTGAATTGTACCAATTTCATTGACGCTTTAATGATCAATAAGTACGGGAGATGCATAAATTATGTTTTCGATGGTTATTTTAAGGTAGGTGAGAATTATTGTTGCGTTTGGAATACAAGATCCCATAAATATGTTGAATTTCATACATGATACTCATATACTATACAATATATTCATACAAGTCTACAATGCTCAAGTGTAAAACTACTATTTTCTTCAATTGTTACCATAATCGATATTGATCAACTCCCACATTGTCTCCATTCATTCTTAATAGTCTTAAAATGAAGAGTTGTGTCTTAAAATGCGATCATATGGATGCATTGGCCCGACAATAATATATAGACTGTAACAATACTATATGAATGGCAAACATATACTTTATCAGTGAACAAATCGTACTATAGTCACGAATCACTTGTACTTCACAAGTGTATTCATTGTACTTACTTGATGAACAAAGCGTACCATATTTTTTGATGAATTGAATTGTACCAATTTCATTGACGCTTTAATGATCAATAAGTACGGGAGATGCATAAATTATGTTTTAGATGCTTATTTTAAGGTAGGTGAGAATTATTGTTGCGTTTGGAATACAAGATCCCATAAATATGTTGAATTTCATACATGATACTCATATACTATACAATATATTCATACAAGTCTACAATGCTCAAGTGTAAAACTAATATTTTCTTCAATTGTTACCATAATCGATATTGATCAACTCCCACATTGTCTCCATTCATTCTTAATAGTCTTAAACTGAAGAGTTGTGTCTTAAAATGCGATCATATGGATGCATTGGCCCGACAATAATAAATAGAGTGTAACAATACTATATGAATGACAAACATATACTTTATCAGTGAACAAATCGTACTATAGTCACGAATCACTTGTACTTCACAAGTGTATTCATTGTACTTACTTGATGAACAAAGCGTACCATATTTTTTGATGAATTGAATTGTACCAATTTCATTGACGCTTTAATGATCAATAAGTACTGGAGATGCATAAATTATGTTTTAGATGGTTATTTTAAGGTAGGTGAGAATTATTGTTGCGTTTGGAATACAAGATCCCATAAATATGTTGAATTTCATACATGATACTCATATACTATACAATATATTCATACAAGTCTACAATGCTCAAGTGTAAAACTAATATTTTCTTCAATTGTTACCATAATCGATATTGATCAACTCCCACATTGTCTCCATTCATTCTTAATAGTCTTAAACTGAAGAGTTGTGTCTTAAAATGCGATCATATGGATGCATTGGCCCGACAATAATAAATAGAGTGTAACAATACTATATGAATGACAAACATATACTTTATCAGTGAACAAAGCGTACTATAGTCACGAATCACTTGTACTTCACAAGTGTATTCATTGTACTTACTTGATGAACAAAGCGTACCATATTTTTTGATGAATTGCATTGTACCAATTTCATTGACGCTTTAATGATCAATAAGTACTGGAGATGCATAAATTATGTTTTAGATGGTTATTTTAAGGTAGGTGAGAATTATTGTTGCGTTTGGAATACAAGATCCCATAAATATGTTGAATTTCATACATGTCTACAATGCTCAAGTGTAAAACTAATATTTTCTTCAATTGTTACCATAATCGATATTGATCAACTCCCACATTGTCTCCATTCATTCTTAATAGTCTTAAAATGAAGAGTTGTGTCTTAAAATGCGATCATATGGATGCATTGGACCGACAATAATATATAGACTGTAACAATACTATATAAATGACAAACATATACTTTATCAGTGAACAAATCGTACTATAGTCACGAATCACTTGTACTTCACATGTGTATTCATTGTACTTAGTTGATGAACAAAGCGTACTATATTCACGAATAACCCAAACTTTACCAGCTTATACATTGTACTTATTTGGTGAACAAAGCGTACTATATTCACGAATAACCCGAACTTTACCAGCTTATACATTGTACTTATTTGGTGGACAAAGCGTACTATATTCACGAATAACCCGAACTTTACCAGCTTATACATTGTACTCTTATGTTCACTAATTAAACAACAGTACATAGGTTTTACATAGCATGTAGACTGCAAATATTACTAGATTCAACACTATCAAACTATGAACTACTCCACCTTCAGAATTGCAATTCTTCACTTCACTTTCTTGATGGACTTGGTTCATCGACGCACTTGTAGCTTCATTTTCTTCACGATTTGAGTTGGAAAAAGTTTGCCCAACTTCAAATGGTTCACACCAATGGGAGTAGCCATGGTGTGGGCAACAGTAAAATAACCTTCCGGGATTCGAAACCATTGTGGGGTGGGTGGGTTTTACATGGATTTTTTCGTCGGAAAAAGAGGAAATCAGAGGAGAGAAAGAGAGAAAAAATAGAGAAGAAAGAGAGCAGTAGAAACAGAGAAGAAAGAGAAGAAAGAAAGAGAAGATGAAGAGAGAGAAAAAGAAGAGAGAGAAAAGGGTGAGAGTGAAAAAGAAGAGAGAGAATATAATAAAATATATAAAATTCACATTAGGGACTGAACTGCATGTCAGACGCGTGAATAGGGACTGAATTGCTTGGGGAAACTACCTAGGGACTGATCTGTGTGTTGAGTTTTGGATTAGGGATTTATCTGTAGTTTCCCCAAAAAAAAAAATCAAAAAATAGTTTTAAATATCTAGTAGCCCATAACAAAACAGGCTATTCTGACTTGTTCAGCTAATAGTCAGCATTCAGCTTGAACGGCTCCAGGTGCCAACTAGGACCGGTTTACACACAATTAAAAATAAAAAATAAATAATACTCCCTTATAATTATTAAAAAGAATATTCGTTTATTTATTTATTTATTTTAATAGAATAAATTAAATAAAAATCTAATTTTGTCGATTTTAGAAAAATACGACTAGTTAGAGAAAGACAGCCGTTAAACCCAATTGCAACTCACCAAACGCGTCCCACTGCCCAAAAATTCGTCTTTTTCCTTTTTTTATTTTTTATTTTTAATTTATTTATTTGTTTATTATTATTATTTTTCCGAATAAAACAATAAAGTTAAAACCAACACAAGTACACCACACCTCTGTTCTCTGTCGGTATATACATACATTACATATAAATCTTCCCGAAGAATTTTCCGTTACATTCCTTCTTCTAAACTTCTTTAACCTTAATCATCATCTTATTAACAGAAAATTAAAACAGAAAAAAAAAAAAAAACAGAAAAAAAAAATGGATTCTTTAGATCAACGGCGCAAGAGAAAGCGCAGCTTCAGACAATACCCTAATCTACAATTGTTATTGTCTGTAAGATCTCTGCTAATATGTTTCAGCTTCTTAATTTTTCTCTATCTTTTTTCCTACACAAACCCCTTTTCTTCCATCCCTGTTTTTCGCCCTGTTTTGGTGGTTTCCAGTTTATCTCTTCTGTCAACTTCCATTTCAACAACGGTTAAATCTGTTCAAGATTCCGATTCTTTAAAATCACCGCCGTTGAAAATCGAGAGCCGGGTTTTGTTCCCCGACCATGTTTTGCTGCTTGTGGGCGGTGGGAGCAAAAACAGGTTCTTGAAGAATGAGTTCGAGTGTGTTTATAATCATGTTAAAAATGGCGGTTTTGGTAAGAAAAAGGTGGTTTCTTTTGATGAGTACGATGAATTCAGATCGGTTTTGAGGTGCCCACTTCCATCTCTGAACTATTCAAACGCTGTCAAGTTGCAGAGGGTGGATAAAAATCGAGTCTTGGCTGAAAAAAGTAATGGGTTTTTGAGGAGGAATCAGACAGTTAAATCATGGGAAAACATTGCGTACGAAGCTGCACTTGATGGTGACACTGACACAGCTGTTGTGTTTGTGAAGGGACTTAATTTAAGGCCCGGCAGAGAATCCGACCCGAGTCAATTCAGTTGCCATTTCGGGTTCGGGCATAAAAATCCGATCTTTACGCTGTCGACAAAAGCTCTAGCCGTTGCACAAGAAGTCGTGAGGTGTCCATTTCCGGAGAGCATCGAACGGAGTCTCGAGAAGGGAATCCGTGTGACCGTTGGATTCAATCGGGCCCACAAGCCCGTTCTCGTGCCTTCCGTGGCCAAGATTTTCCGACCGGCCCCCACTTTTTTGAGTGCGGAAAAACACGACCTTTGCGTGTGTACGATGGTGTGGAATCAAGCTTCGGCTATGCGCGAGTGGATTAAGTACCATTCGTGGCTCGGAGTAGAGAAGTGGTTTATTTACGATAATAACAGCGAAGACGGAATCGAAGGGATCGTTCAAGAACTCAATCAAGAAAACCACAACGTGACTCGATTTTTATGGCCGTGGATCAAAACTCAAGAAGCTGGATTTTCCCACTGCGCCCTCAAAGCGAAGAGTCAATGCAATTGGGTTTCGTTTATGGATGTAGACGAATATTTCTACTTCCCATATTCGACCCCTAAACACCAACAGTTCCGATCGTTAGGCCACGCTCCACAAAATTCTCTGCGTGATTTAGTGTCCAATTTTTCAAGAACAAATATCGGAGAAATCAGAACTTCGTGCCACAGTTTCGGACCATCAGGGCTCGATGCACCGCCACCACAGGGGGTTACGGTGGGGTACACATGTAGGCTACAAAGTCCCGAGAGGCACAAATCGATCGTGAGGCCCGATGCGCTGGATTCCACCCTTCTGAATGTGGTGCACCATTTTCGACTTCGGGAAGGGTTCGAGTACTTGAATTTGCCGCAGAGTGCTGCTGTGATAAATCACTATAAATACCAAGTGTGGGGGGTTTTTAGAGCCAAGTTTTATAGGAGAGTGGCAACTTACGTGGCGGATTGGAGAGAGAATCAAAATGAAGGGTCGAGAGATAGAGCGCCCGGATTGGGTACTAAGGCGATCGAGCCTTCTGATTGGTCGAAGAAGTTTTGTGAGGTGTGGGATACTGGGCTTAGAGACTTTGTTTTGTCGAATTTTGTCGATTTTTCGACTAATTCGCTGCCGTGGGAGAAGCGTTCTGATTAATACTGCTCGTTGTAAAGGAGAAAAAAAAATCACACGAATAGTTATTCATTTATTGATTAATACAATTCACAAACTATCTCTGTTTCTTCATCCAAACAAAGTATACACAATCTTGATTTTTTTTATATAAAAATATTCAAATTACGAAAAAACCATGGCAACTGCAACAAAGATTATATAGACTACTATTCACCTTCTTCATTCTTGATTATTCCTTTTGTGGAACCTTTCGATGTAATCGTCAAAACTGCCGTCATCGTTTTTTATATGATTTTCTTCATTTCGACGATCGATGATTTTGGAAGATGAAAGGGTAGGATCCCCTGCGTCTCGCTCCATCAAATAAGTCTGCATCTTGGATTCACTTGATGGGGCTTGCGATTTCTTGCTCTTGCTCAGCTGAGAGTTCGATGAGTTGGAGAAGGTCCTTATTATAGGCGATGCGGGCCCACTTTTGTTGGGCTCTTCGCCCAAACTCAGATTCGCCAGAGACAAAGTCGAGAGTTTGATTATATTCACCATAACCTCCATCGATTTCTCACAGAAAGATCGATCTTCAATCCGATTCTTGTGTGCCATTAGTAAAATATTGCTGAAGAGTGGTTTTTCTTTTGATTTATTCAGGAGTTGATGTGAAAAAGAGAGAAATGAGAGAATCAATCCCTCTAAAAAGAGAAGCTAATATTATCTAAAACATATCCATATTCCTCTATTCATCATCGCCAGCTTTCGAGGAATGATTGTCGATTTATTGATGTGTAATTTCACATACGAAAAATGCTCGTCGCTTTCAGGAATCAATATATCCATTGTGATCCATATCAGCAGATTATTATTAACAAAAAAAAAAAAAAAAAGCGCTCAGGTGCAACGCGATCATGCAGAAGGCGGGGGACTCTCCATGCACTGTTATCGAAACGTCATCGTATTAAACATGGCAAAATGAATGAACATTTAAACATTCGACAACAGCTAGGAAAAATGAAATTAAAGCTATAAATCGAAGTACTAAATTCAACGCAGCAAAGCTATAATATTTCTAACCGGTATTATCAGTTCATTAACTTCTCTCTCCATACCCAAAACATTCCAATTTCAGAAGCTAAATCCCAAATTGTCACTCTGCTTATCAGAAGAAAACTATACCCTAATAAATAAAGAAACCCTGTAAATTACAGAACACAATATAAACTGTTCATTGTCACTTTCTGTTTTTCGGAAATATACAAAAGAACTCGGACGCCCACCTTCATTAGTTCTTCGGCAAATATAATTTGCCACATAACCGAAATTCACGAGAAGATCGAGAAAAGAAAGAAAAATCACAAAAAATAATCCGGAGTCTTCCGTGTTGTGTCAGGCTCGATCTGACGAGGGGCAGGGTCGAATTGAAGGAAATTCTGGTCCATGTGCTCCCCGATTTCAAGTATAGCAGCCATGTTCCCACATCGGTAGCAATAGTTTGGTGCACTAAAAACCGTCACCACATTCTTGTCCTAACAAATCCATGTAAGAAGAGCAATAAATTAACCAGTTGAAGAACAATATGCTGCTGCACTCGAAAAAAAAATTCATGAAAAATAAGACTAATGTGGTGTTCGCAAAAACTTTTGAAAGCTGATTATGAGCTTTTTTGGGCTCATAATCAGTTTTTGAGTGTATGCAAAACCAACTTTTGCTTGTGTTTCTCTAAAAATATAGTTTTAAGCTATAATCTCAAAAGCTGACTAGCTTTTACAATTTAAAAGCACTTCCCGAAATAACTACCAATGGTATTTAACATTTATACCCTTACTGGTTTTATCTAAATTCTTTTAATATGGATATTTTAGACGTTTCACCAAAATAAGCTAAAAAGTTAAGAATTGATTTGCAAACACCTACAACTTTTAAATTGACGGCTTAAAGTTGATTTCTTAAAAGGATTTGCAAGCACTCTAACTTTTGACAACTATACTCACAATCACCAACTTCTACATACAAAAGCTTTTGCAAACACCTCCTAACCTGGCACCAATTGAAACCCTCCATGACAAGCTGGTGAGCTCTCGAGATTAGAGAGAGGCCATTTGTGTGGTTGAACTGAGAAGCTATATCCTGTCCGAAGGTGTACCCAGCTCCACGGGGCGATATGCCCCACCCGCATCGATCATCCGGGTCGGACCACAAAAGATCACACATTGGTCCTTCGTGTGGAACCTAATGAAAGAAATTCTCAAATCAAGAAGTGTATATATAATAGATTAAAATGATCAGGCAAAAAAAACAAAAGAAATTGTGTATACCTCCTGTATACGGTCTAAAGCTCGAATATTATCCAAGGTGTCAAGTGAAGGAGAAAGACCCCCGTGCAGACAGAAGATCTACAAGAAAACAGTGTAAAGCGTCGGAGAAAATTACCATTTTTATAATTAATATAAAAGGGATCTGTGTTTATTGATCAAACCTGACTCTCAATAAGTGCTGTCAAGGGCAAATAATCAAAAAGATCAGTGAAATACTTCCATACGTTGGCGTTGCCGTATTTCCTCAAGCATTCATCATAGAACCCATACCTGGTGCAATAAAAGGTACATGAATAAGACATCAAATATTATTGCAAAAAATGGCAAGAAGATCAAACATCAGTTGATCGAGTATGATATTCAGGATATATTTTCTTTTTCCTTAAAATAACAGACTATGGAAGCAAGTTTCACCAGGACATAATACATGCTATCTGAAACAAAATTCATTTTCCATGTTTACATTCAAAGATAATTTACAAACCTTTCATCTACATTCGGATTTAAAACCCTTGCACAAATAGTAACATAACGCACTACAAGATCAGTAGAGAAGAAGGTCATACACTTGAGTGATTTGTCGGCTTTCGTGATTTCCTCTAAGGATTGTGATTCTATCTCTATGACGAACTTTAAGAGCCACTAAGAGCGAGACCGTCTCCACTGAGTAGTAACCACGGTCTGCATTAAGTAAATATTTTGTTAAAAGATCTTAAAATGACATAACAGTTAGTAGAAGCTATTGATGAACATGGAAGCTTACGTAAAGCAAAAAATATTAAAAAATCAGCTTAATAAATGATTATAATTTACAATGAAACACAAGGCCTAATGCAATAATGAAGGAAAAACATTTTACTCATGCGACACTAATTATGCCATCATGTGCATGCACAAACTACCATACTGTCTTAACCCAGGCGCGTGGAAAAATTAGTTCCCACATAGACAAATAAAGTCGGACAAAGCCAAATAATACTATCAAATAGATGAAAGCGATGATATCATTTCAAACGTTAAGTAGCATAAGCTAAAGTTCCGTGTCAAAAATCAACTTTCCATCTATTTGTTTGCAATAAAGGCTAACCCATGCAAACATCGAAATGTATCAGAATCTCGACGTCATCAATATACGAACATCAGATAGCGTAATTGGCTAGCAAAAAAACAATGCCCGGAATTTCCGGAACACGTTACTCAAACTTATAGAGTGCCCAAAAAAAATACGTAAGCATAATTAGATTCTTCTAGTCAATCTCTAAGACATATCCAGCTCACCGGCACATCAGAAAGTTCAATAAGTGAGCTCCGATATCCAATGCTAAGAAAACCTAAATAATTAGCTACACAATCAGCTCCTTTGAATATTTGCTATGAATCAAATTCAAACAAATATGCTAAAAAATCAGCTCCCATTTACATTAGCTGGTTTTTATTTCCGAAATAAACAAACAACAATCTTCAAAATCTAATACAGTCAGGTATGAGAATATTAAAAATATCCTTATCAGCTAAAACAAAAACAAGCAAATACAACCACGAAAGCCAAATCAAAAACAAATCCAAGTTCCAATAAATTACTTCAGAAATCCTTAAAATCATCCAAGCAAACACCAGATCAGCAAACAGCTTATTCAATAAATTCAACAAAAAACCTAAGGAGAAAAAAAAAAAGAAAAAAGGATAAATACTCACCGACATAATCTCCCATGAAGAGATAATTCGTATCTGGAGCATTTCCACCTATCCGAAAAAGCTCGATTAGATCGTAAAACTGGCCGTGGATATCGCCGCACACAGTGACGGGGCATTTCACCGGCTGCACATTCCATTCCTCCACCAGAATCGCACGCGCCTGTTCGCACAAAATCTTCACATCCGCCTCCGATAGCGGCTTGCACTCCATCAATTGCTCTATCTGCCTATCCAGATCCACGTGCCCCGGCATTTTCGCTGCTTCACTTCTAGAAAAAAAATCAAACACCTTCACCTTTTCAGCTGTTTAAATCTCCGATCTGAAAAATTTTTGGTCTTCGATTTGCAAATTTAAGAGGAAATTTCATAAATTACTGAGATTTTTTTTGTTTACGTAGCGATTCAAGTAGCGATACATATACGTACAATCGAGAGAGATCTATACATATCTGTGTGTATGCATAGGTTTAATTGCGGTGTGCGTGAAGAACAGAGAAAGAAATGGTGGAATGCGAAATGAAACTCAAATGAACCCAAAACGGAATGCAAATGAACTTTTTGGGTTTGTATACATACAACATATAGATACAAACAATATATTATATAATTAATACTAATATTGATTAGAAATTAGAAATTTTCGCCCGCCAGGTCAAGTCAAACTTGGTGCGGGACACGTGGCGAGCTGGCGGCTAGTTAGATGCTCCTGTGAAATTGATGGGCCTGGGCTTCTTGTTGGTATGGATCAAATTTTAGTAAGTGGTTTGAAATTCCAACTGGATTTATATCTCAAAACGACATAGTTTTAGTAACTGTAAGTTTCGTTCACAGTTAGCTCCTCATCCATTCAAATGTCTGAAATGCCCTTCACTTAATGATTTTAAATTTTCTGTAACTTATTCATTTTATGTATCCGAAATGTTAAATCCTGCACCAAATTTACCTAATATGCACACAAATAAAAGACTTCATCTCTCTAAAATCTTTTTTTCCTCTCCGTATGTCTTCTTTTTTCCTCATTTTTCACAAAATCACACACGAAAATCGTCTCTACCATTTCAATTTTAAATTTGTGGAAATTCTTTACATATTCAAGCTACACAATGATCTATTTGTATTCGTTAATTTTATTTTCTGGACGAATTGAGATGGATTTGGATTGTGTTTTCATGGTTTTTTCGAATAAAAGAAAAACACACTTCTATATATAGTAGTCGCCGGTTGAGTGTCTCCGGTAAGGTAGGGTGCCCGCTCGGAGTGGCCGGTGACGAAGCGGGAGTGCTGAAACCAGCCGAAAGAGATTTACGAGCTAATAGGACTATACAGTTTACTTTTGAAATTAAAAGTAATGGTGCAATGATCCAATCGAATTTGGATTTGAAATTCTTTGGTCCAGAAGTTATGGCCCGGCCCATTAGAGATTTTTTGATAACGTATTGGGCCACTACTACATAAATTAATGTTTGGTCACAAGTGATAGTTTTTTTTTTTTTTTTTTTTTATATATATATATAAATGAAAGTGTATCAGATTTTATTGATAATATAATAATAATAATTATCACTTTATTACCTCAAGTTAATTCAACAAATATATATATTTCTTGAAATTTTATGCAAAAAAAGAAAAAAAAAAAAAAAAAAAGGAGAAATAAAAGGCTTTTTTGGTTAGCACGAGGAATAGAGAATCTGAAATAAGCTTTGGAAGTTTGAATATTGGACCAAAGACCAAAACAGTGTCACTCACTTCCCCACACTACTAATTAAAGAATCTACTGAAAAAGACTAACACCACTCCAAAGATGCTAAATACCAACTTTCTTTTTTCTTCTTTTTTCCACCTTTAAATGGTGGATTCGCTTTTTTTTTTTTTTTTTATTAATTTATTAATTTTATTTATTGGAACACATGCCAACTCCACAGCTCATTAAAAAATGAACCATAACTACTAAAAAAGGTAAAGCAAGATGATTTAAAATAAATTAATCTATTACACAAGAAACTGTAGTTTGGGATGGTGTGGATTTAATATTTGTACCACAATTAATTTCGCCTAATGATTTTTCTCATGAAATTTCTGTACCAAATTGCATATTTTTTTAGTGAAAAGAAAAGAAAAAAAATGAACAAGCCAAAATATTTCTGACATTTAATTAAATTAAAAAAAAATCGATCGAAGTATTCCAGAAAATACGAGATGGAAAACTCTTGCATGGCTGCAACAATTGTGATCATGCGTAGTCCTCTGCCTAAGCTTGCCGGCCAGGTGTTTGTCGTCTGAAAAACGCCGATATAATTAATTTACTATATTATTATAATAAAATTCCATAATTTACTAAGATATATTTATTTTTTTCAATAAAACAGAAAATGAAATTATTATTATTATAGAATGAATAGTGGTAGGCTACGTACTAAAGCCATTGTACTTATAAAGGTGCTTCTGAAAATCAAACCCTCAAAAGGGTAGAAAACAAAAATTAAATATTTTAAAATTGAACTTTATTAAATGTGTTCAACAAAAGGATAAAGTGGTGAGTGGCTCTCTTTATTGCTTTATTTGGATGCAATATACATATAGCATGGTTTTTTAAGTTTTGAATTTATGAATAAAAATATATATAGATATACATATTTAAAAAATAAAAATAAATAAAATGACAGACCTGTTGTGAATAGGATCAGGTCCATTAGGTATCTTTCTTTTGCTCGTGTAGTTGAGATCAAACTTTGAAACAGCAGCTCTACTAATTACATGCTTCGTGTTTTCATGATTTCTTCCCGTATTATAATTCCGCTCTTCCACGTGGCGGCGGTGGTGGTGATGGTGGTGGTGGTGGCGGTTTGTATTTCCAATGTTCTTGATTCTTGTACCTCTATTGTTTTCTGCAGCTGCGACGATTATCAAAATAGCTCCGAGAAACACAAGTAGATGCAAAAGAAATTTCCATAGGTTCTTGTACATCTCTCTAATTAAGCCAAAAAACAAAACCCTATTTGTATAAATAGTTTCTCAAATATATAATACAAAGAAATTAATGCCTTGTATATTTTTGAGTTGTGGTAGAAAAACAAAGAATAGATGAGAGATTGGTGCGTTTAAGTGAGAAAGAATTTGGCTTTTGTAGTAAGGAAAGAAGAGAGAAGTGGTTATAGCTTTACTGCATGGCTAAGTAAGTTACTGCTTCATTTCTTTATTAGAGAGAGAGAGAGAGAGAGAGAGAGAGAGAGAGAGAGAGAGAGAGAGAGAGAGAGAGAGAGAGTAGGTGGTTTAGTTTATGGAATGCATGAGAGTGGGGGGATAACATTTTGCTTTATACTACTGCTGTGAGGCCCTAATACGACAATGTTCTTTTGCTTTCGTTTTGTGTATTTCCATGCACGTACTATATATATATATACATATAATATATGTATTTATGTATTTATACCTTACGTACAGCAAACTGTAAACTGGATTCTCACACATAAACACAGTGAATCAATACGGTCTTAAAATAAGAGTGTTCGAATTGATGATTAACACGTACGCCTTCGCATTTCATATATATATGTACATATATTCTGAGTTACTTGAACCACTCTTTAGTTGGCATAATTAGTAAATCAGCAAGTACTTTATTTGCACAATGATGTGATCTTATAAATTCGATGGAATGCTGAATATTTTGATTAGAGAGAGACACACTATATATAAGACATGAAAGAGAGAATCAGATGCTTTTTATTAGGATCGGAAGCTGTTTTTGTTTCGAGTAAGGTTCGTTATATTACCAAAATCTTGTCGTCTTTACGGATTCGCACATTACAACTTTGTCATTGATTTGTTCCCTCTGTTGGATATTGGTCTCTGCTGTTGTTATAATTAAAGCATTATACTGAATATATATTTTATTTATTTAATTAGGCAAAAAAAGAAGAGCAACATTTTGTATGATTCCAAGGCAACTTAGTTAAATTTTTTTGTTTATGGTATATTATTATTTGGATAGGCTTTGTCAAGTACACATTTCTTAAAAGAATCGAACCTGCCGTATAGTAAGGTATCTTCCTATTTTCAATATATTCAACTTTTTTAACCTTCACCACTGCAAGTTCAATCAATCATTCACTTTAAATAATAACAAATAGATAAAATAAAATAAATTACAAACATATATCATTTCTGAAATTTGATTTATCAACAAGAATTCAGTTTTAAGTTTTCGAAAATTACAAAAATAATCTGAAATGGCGGGACGACGTAAAAGCTGTAAGCCACTATGAGACAACAAAAATTCCTAGTAAGAATCATTGCTACATTGTGGGATAATATGATACATTGATTCTACAAATGCTACATAAGTATTTAAAAAAAAAAAAAGGATGTACAAAATTGTATAGTATATGATAATTTCATTCTTTCGTGGTGGTTTGGGGCGATTCCTCATGCTTGCTCTACGAGCCACATCCCATGCTTTTTGTGGTACATAAACGCCAGCCTGTGATGCAAAAAATGACTCGTAACCAGGTGAGTCAAAAGCAAAGCCCGTATGCTTTGATTTCTGTCCTGGAAGCTGCATTATTGCATATCTTCGGGCATCGTCTGGGCTTACATCATTGTTTCCGATTTCGAGTAATCCGATTCTGTTGTTATCGACTTCATGCCTGTGAATTTCCTGAACTATCTGATAATCGTAGGGAAAGAACCATCGTTGAACCCTGAGACAATATTTCAAGCACAACATAACTGAATTAATAACATGTTATGTGATGGCTGCGTAAATAAACGATAAGATGTGCCCAAATAGTAAAATGGTGAAAGGATCGACTTGTAAGAACTTACCCCAGGTAAATGAAGTCAACAAATAGTGCAGCAACAGGGACAAGAAGAAGGGTGAAGTAGAAATAAAAGGTACTCATCAGGACATAAATGACAAAATAGATATTCTCCTGCAGAAAATCATATTATTACAGAGTCAGCATCTATCTTAATTCTTAACAAGTTCGAAAATATGAGTTGATAATAACAGAGCCAGAAATTTATACCTGCTCTTTAGGTAAAACGAAGCCCGAGTAAATGAAGACAAATGTAAACCATGCTAATATGCTTCCTCCGACACTAATATGATGCCACCTAGTAATTGTGTTACACATCATAAGGAGCCGTATATTGACAGTCACAACAACACTAGTGAAGGCCATTGTACTGACATCCCACAGGCCAAACATTTTGCCAGCTGAATTCATGGCTCTGTTACTTGAAGCAACGACGAAGTAATACAAAACTAGTGATTGATATACGGCAAAAAAAGCCCATGTTGCCACAACCCTCCATTTGAAGAATGCATTCCTTATTCCTTCCTTGTACAACTCGGGGTATTTCTTGGAAAGGGTAGCATTGACATCCTATACAAAAAAAGAAATTATATAAAAAAGAAAACTAAGATGATTTCAAGATTGCAGTTTTAATAACCCAAAAGGATAAGGATACCTTGTCAAAAAGCCCAATAATGATCACAGGAAGGGCTGTAAAGATAACATTATAGAGAGACTGAAACCAATCGTCGTAGAATCTTTGGCCAGAAAATCCGGTTTCGAAGGTGAACCAAAACTGAGTAAGGGTGAACATCAAGTTCTTGTAGAAGAAGTATGTCACAACCTGCGCAAAATATAGAAGCTGAAAATACTGTAAGCTTAAAAGGCATAAAAAACTACTGTAGAATAACAAACCTTGCATATTCTATGATATGACCATCTCCCATGCACAAGGAGTAACTCCGTCAGAAAGCGGAATTGTGCAATGGCGAAATCACTAGCCATCACAGCTTGCATACCTTCCTGCCCACTTATCCCAACACCAACATGAGCTGCCTGAATCATGCTGACGTCATTTGCACCATCGCCAATACTAAGGGTAATCCTGTTAGCACCCTTCTTAACTAGGCTTGTAACCTGAAATCATAAAAATGATGAAGGCGGCTCAAAAGAAATCCACAAGACAGATCAATAAGGACAGTGATTATGATCACAAAGTTGATCGGGGTAATAATCCTAGGTGATTGTTTCAATATAATTTATTCTATCATTTCAGCAGAGTCATAAAAAGTAAAATAGCCATGTAGATAATGAGTGTGGTTCAATTAGATAGTTTTCTCGCATCCAGATCTCTCTGCAGTTGTCTACTGCATAGACTTTCACAAAGATTGGGTAATACCTAACTTTCTTTAAGTAAGTGTTTTATACGTGTAAACTAATTTCCAGCATCATCTATTAAAGACTACAAAAAATGTAAAACATAATGATGCATATATTCGGAACCTTACCTGCGCCTTCTGTAGTGGAGAAACTCGGCAGCAAACTACTGCACTGCAATTCAAGCTCAGATTCAGGAGTACTACTCGTAGACTGGGGTCCAGTGCATACATTAAACACTTCCCATCAATTACAAGCGCCAACTTTGGTCTGGATTCAGAAAGAAGATACTGTTGAGCTTCCTCATTACATCTTTTGAGCTCATTTTTCACTAACTCTTTCATAAAGCGAGCAAGCTCTACTTGATCACCCTAATATTCAGGCAACAATCGGTTAAGGGGAGGAAAAAAATTTAGGCTTACGTATACCTCATTTAGACGGGAAAGTATTAGTGCAAAATGTTACTTACCCTCTCTTCAATTTCTCTAATATCATCAGTTTCTGAGCTGATTATAAATTGCTTCATGCTGTTACTGATTAACTTGCATGCTGCAATGCACAGAAAACACAGAAAGGAATGAAATTAGTGCAGCAGGTATGATACCAGTTCAGACAAAAAAAATGAATCACCAACTTCATCATACCATAAGCAATATTTATTGCTGTTTCCATCTTGTCTCCAGTTAGCACCCAAATTTTAATTCCAGCTCGAGAGAGGGTCTCTATACATTGAGGTACTCCCTCCTGAAGCTTGTCTTCAATAGCAGTGCATCCGATCAAAATAAGATTCTTCTCAATTAGTTCTGCAACCTGAAACAGTTTTACAGGTTGGCTATTATAAAAATCAATTACAGTAAAAACAAGTTGACGGGGAGTATAGATTTGAACAAAATGGAACTATATGATGATTATGCAACTTAGAAAATATTAGAGCCCAATAGAAATTGGGATAAAATTTTAGTGTACTGAATAATGGGAAAGTTAAGCAGGAGCTCGTTGAACTTCAAATAAAGCCTGAACACCGACATTTCATGATACTTCAAATGAAAATGACATTTTTATCCATTAATTGCAGCCATAGTGCTACTTTTCCAACAAATTGCCATCAGAAAGGTGCAATAAAACTGCATTATACCAAACAAATTAATGGAAAAAGGGCTGGCGCACCTCGTCCAATTTCTTCTCCCTATCTCGCAGAGAAGATTTTGCCTGAACGTATTTCTCGTTCCAATTTTCATATTCATCAGGACTCAAATTTCGATAAGCAAGGCAAAGTGTACGCAATCCAGAAGCTCCAAATTGCTCCAAGTGCTCCCTAGATATTCTTCTCAAATCACCGTCTCCATCCGCCAATCTTTCATATATCACTGTATCCGCACCCTACAAAATTCATTATAAAGAAATCTGTAAATTTATTCCTTGCAAATAACTCTCAGCGAACACATATATGCAGCCTTGTGAGTACCTTGCAGTAAAGTACGAGTCTACCATCTGGATAACGACATACAACAGACTGGCGCTTCCTCGTACTACACCATACCAATAAAAAGTTAGTCTGGAGTTGTATTGATAGGGTTCTAAAACCTCAAGCATATGAAAAGGTTTTAATTGCCCTTCAGTACTGAAAAAATCAAGCAGATCAAAAAACATAAATACCTGTTAAACTCAAGGACATTCAAAATTTCATATGCAATATCCTGAACCTTTCCCATCTTTTCAACATGTGACTCGCGAACGTAAATTGTCGTAGGTGAACGTCTGCAGTTAAGACAATACAATCTCACTTCAAGCAATAATATCTCGAAAGCAGGAAACAAAAACATAAGATATTACATACTTGTAGAAAAAGAAGCCAAAATTCTTTGCTGCAATAACCAAAGCAGACTCGTCAGGTGATGCAGCTTGATATCGAATCTTCTCAGGGGACTCTTCGCCTTCAGGAAGCACAGTATGACATATTGCAAGGCACCTGAAGAATTCCTACACAAAATAAAAAATCTTTCAAGGATGAATTTTCATCTGCCAGGGGCGAGCAAATAGAAGGATGAAGGAAATTTCGAAGGCTCGATTACCAAATCCAATCATGAAAGAGAAATGAAAATATAGGATATAACTACAGTATGTTAATCTCAGCGAGTCAACAATTCAAGGCAGTTTTATGTGGAACATGAACGGATGCTACACAAGAGCATGAGCAAATTCTAGGATACATTCATAATTTGTCCATTCGTACTTAGAATTAAATAACCTACTTTGCAGGACTCAGGATTAGGTTCATTCCTCCAAGCACCTTGCATAAGCCGTCCATCGTCAAAGTTGAAACCCTTTTCACGTGCTGCATGTGGCTGCTTCTGAGACTGATAATCAAAGGCATTAAATCAAGACATGGCACACTTAGGACTTACGAGTACTTTCAAACCTCCAATGGCAAGCGAACGTACCTCAACTTTGGCTCCAGTCCTCTGAGCTATTTTGATCTCTATTTCACTCACACCAGTACCATAAACCTCTCCACCAATCGAGCATTTGAAAAATTCCATCAAGTTTCTCGTAAGGGTCCCAGTTTTGTCAGAGAAAATATATTCCACCTATCAAAAGGATAAACTGAAATTAAGCAAACCATATATCCACAATATGTTGTCATCAAGCAGTTAAAATCAGGCAAACACTGAAAAATTCCTGTAGCCACATAATTTAAACCTCACAAGTAAAAGGTCAACAAAGAAAACTTTTTACCTGCCCAAGTTCCTCATTTAAGTTAGACGTCCGAGCTGATGCAGGGGTATTGCTCTCAGCATGGTACATGTGTAAGTCATTGTTGATGAATTGGGTAGATTGAATAAATTTAATCATCTGAAATAAACAGAGGAAAGTCAATGATCAATACTGGCACATAACCTCACGAAAAAAAATATACAAAAAAACTGAACAAAACCATTGTTAAATCTACCTCGACGGAGACATACAGAGAGATTGGAATGATTGGTGAATAGAGAGTGATAAGAGTAAAAAATGTCAAGATAGCAACCTACAGAACATAGAAGGAGACAATTGGAAAACAAAAAAAAAAGTGGAAATCAACACCACACAACACACTAAAGAAGTAGACTCTTCACCACAAATCTGTTGTCAGGATTAAACTGTTTCTCTGTTCTGCCAGTATTCTCAAAACGCAAATAGTAGTACTTGGGATTTATGAATATACCACTGCAAATATCATGATAAAAGTGGTATCAGTTGTCTTCAAATATATACGAAATATATTGAAAGTTCAACAACCATAATATGATAGGTTATAATAGATCAAACCTTCCAATGGCACCCAAAACACACATGGAGAAAAGAACACTAAATAATGCAAGAATCAGCTTGTCAAGTTTCTTTTCTAAGGTGCTTCGCTTGGATGGAATTTTCATGGAGTTCATCATAACCTGCAAATATAGCACAACAACCAGTGATATACAGAATATAAAAAGTAGGAAAACAAACAAAACATGCACAGACAATTAGGCGGGTATAAGCCACTAATGTAGAATTCCCAAAAATGCCCTTGATAAAAGAGATAATCTATAAACGTTAACTGGGGAAGCTTCCAACCAAGTCAACAAGCAAATGAGAATAAGATATGAAACAACTCGAACACTGTGAATATAGTAGGTACCTTTGTCTCATGCCCAGTAAAAACGACAGCCCCAACTATGTACTCGGTATTTCTTAGACTACAACCCTGAAAGTACATTATATGAGAAGCACCGTGAGTCATCAACAAAAACAGAAACTAAGCAATAGATGGCATACATCTGTTTGTATCAATATTCTAGCAGAAATTTATGAACTATGTTTATGCAGCAAGCAACTCAGACTGTTAGGCAGATGACAAAAGACAGAAACTAAACAATAAAAAGGTGGCACAACCGTAGTTAGTGAAACACAACTAATAAAACAATATGTAACACGGATATTGAAGAGAGTCGGACAGAGACTCGATTCCATACCCTTAATAGAAGCTGATTTGGACTGAGAGGTAACGATTGTTTATCAACTATCAAATTCCCAGTATAAGTGTACAGTGAATTATTTGGTTGCTCGCATTGTATCTCACCTGCATTGAGATAAATAAGTTTATATCAAATATAATATGGAGCCAGTAGTGATTATAGCTGGTGAGCTTCCTATATCATTAAGTAAATCAATACAATAATGGGGACTTCTGGTCATGAACCATCACATGTCCAATAGGAGAATGTGAGATTGTAGAAATCTTTCAGCAACTAATTCCACCAATAATTCGGTTATGACTTCATGTTCTTATTTTGGTTTGATAATTTGATCCTCGTCAGGGAAGTACTCCAAATACAGTTTTAACCACAACCAGAAACATTACATATTAGCAAGTTCGCAACTAAGACTGATAAATTCTGCAAGTTCAGCACTCTCGCGTGATAGTGCCCTTAAGATTTGGTCCACTAACCAACTTCAGTTCTGATATGGCACAGAGCCTTTAGAATATGGTGATAAACTGCACGCAACTTCAACCAGCAAATAGTTTACGCTTATTTGAACAATTATAGACAGCAGGGACAAATATGAAGCACGAGTTAATACTGAGCCAAGCAACATAAAGTAACAGAAACCTTTGAATTCAGAAATTTTCTCTGGGTTCACATAATCCCATGTCTTTTCCAATGCTTTCCGTATCTTCAAGTTAGTCTCACCATCCAGATTTGCAGTCTGTAAAAAAATCATACACCAAAGTTTAAATGATATTGAAAAAATGGAAACAACGTAAAGAAACAAATAATTAACCCAAGATGATTAGATCTTATCATCTCATGGCATACATAAACAGGAATTATATTTTTTGGTACGAGGTTCATTACCACGTTCAAGTAGATAAGAAGGCATATGTCATTATGGATATGTTGTTAGGGATATGTTGTTTTGAAGCAAAGAATACTAACCTCGATGTAGCAGACTCCATCAGCATTTGTGCTAGCAAGAAATAACAAATCAGCTGGAAAGAATCCATCCTGCTTCACCTGCGAGCAAACTAGCCATTGTCAAAGTTTGAAGGGAAATTCAAAAGAAAATTCACCGCAAGCCGAAACAAATGACAAGTACTTCATAATTTTATTCCAAAAACTTAAAATAACTTAATGTTTTTGGCATTCTCCAACAAATGCACAGATAGTGCCTCATATAAGATCTACTGATTTTTCCAGAATCGAACTGGTTGAGAAATACAAACCACCGCTCTCCTGTCAGTTTCTAAGCCATCAACAATATCCTAGTTCCCCCATTGACATAATGTGAGATCCAAAAACACATTAATCAGGGCTATGGGTGGCAGTTTTGTTCCGGGCTTAAATGTTAGCTCAACTACCATGAGGTATTTTTTTCCTTCACAATCGACACAAGTTAAGAAAGTCGGGCAGGTTTGTACATGCATTGCCAACAATGGCATACCTAATAGCTCCACCAAGAGAATCGTGCTAAAAGAAAGTTAACCCGAGTATTCAGCCAGTCTAACTATAATCCACAACACTGGTAAGTTCCACATCATCACAAGCTTCAACTACTAAACTGAACATTCACATTGCATTGAATTCTGCCATGCTAATACGAATTTCTTATCCAGCATAGGGCTGATAACTTGCGACCAAGATAGCAGCAAATAAAAAAAAAATGAACATCCAAAATTTCTTGATATAACTTAAACAAGTGAAAATAAGGTATTTCACGGAAGAGAAATATAAGAGCAGCTGACTTACTTTGATAATATCTCCAACCTGCAGCTTCTTCCAAGGAGTAAATACCCACTTCTGATCTTGCAACACTTCTATGGAGGAATTGTTGATTGCCATGTCATTTTGAAAACGTTTCTAACATTCAGAAGATAAAAAGGAATAACAAGAGAAAAAATATGAGAAGTGTTTACATTTAGATTGTTCTCTTGCAGATGAATGTAGAAACAAAATGATATGATACTCACCCAGTCCTCCCATGCTTCCTTCACAAGAGACACAAGAAGCACCATTGACAACGGAAGCACATTTGTAATTGGACTTACAGGACTGCATTAAAACAAAACTTCATCAACTAAAGTAACAAACTCCAGGGAAGCAGACAAGTCAATAAACTCCCACGTCACTTTTAAAGCTTACTACAAATTGCTAAACTCTGGCTACACTATAAATTACGACGAATAAGTATCTCCTTAGTAGTATCTTAGTTATTTCCACAACAGGATTTGGACATTTTAAGTGTATAAGGAACTTCATAATCTCACTTAATTCGTAACATTTGCAATTTCTGCAATTCTTGGATGGAGAGATGGCATTAACTTCCTCTAGAAGGCCTTAAAGATATTTGAAGGTTTACATATTGAAGGACTCTAAAGCTCAATCCTCAATATTTTCAACTTCTAATTGTCTTCCTTCACATTATTTCAACTGTGCATTATTTTACAAGAAATCTCTTGTAGTGTTTAAGGGTCCTGCATTACACCCTTAGCGGGTTAAACTAAATTATAGAGACATACCTCACAGGGGTGCATGATATGATTGAGATCATGAGAAAGTAGAGGTTAGCCACCCGCCTAAACTGTCAGGATAAAGTAAACAGGAAGAAATCAGGTTAAACTGTATTATGTATATAAAAAAGTGAGAACCTAACTTAATTAAGAGGACACAACAACCAGCATAATATACAATTTTTGTCCTACTGTCGTCCAGAAGCTGAAGTAAAGGATCTTAAACACTTAATATGAATTAGACGTACTATATAAAGTCCCACTTAACCCGCGTAACAATATATCAGTAGAAATAAACAAGTATAATTCTTTTTTAGTGGGAAAGAACAAAATGATGAGTTAAAGTATTGATGTGAAAGTGGCCCAATAAATTAGACCAACCAAACCTTACCTGCTCAAATAGCCCCTTGGGTAAAAAGGTAAAGACATCATACTTTGTTGTTGACACAGAATTGCCCTGCAAAATTGGCAGAACCAATAAGATACCAGCTATAGAAGTTATTTGTCACAAAATTATAGGACTCAATTTCCAAAATTGAATAACGAATTTCAAATAAAAATAGATAGGGACTATGCAGGATCTCCGGTTACGACAATGGCATTTCCATCCATTATAAAACCAAGCAACCAAAGCAATCCCTATCAGTGGCTAATGAGATCATCCTGATCTGTTAATTTTCACAGTAATGTGCAAAAAATTCTGTTGAATATTCCTTTATTTTCTCCAATTGCTAGCTTCTACATTTCAGAATCAACTAGCATTGACCATTGGAGGTATCACGAGAAAAAAAAAAAACAAAAAAAACAAAAAAAAGGAGTAATAGTTTGACATATCGAAGGGAACATCCAAACACAATGAGATATCACAACCATAAATCGGGCTAGTTGGTAAATATGAGCAACGGCAAAGATAAATGATTCAGTACAAGACTTATGTTTTCATGGCTACTATGTACAAGGCACTTCTCCACTTCTGGGCAAACATTCATCACTAAAGTTTACAACCCCTATAATGTTGGGCAAGAATCTCAAATCAACAAAAACAACAAGATTCTAAAAGCCAGATAATATATTCCCCTGTATATTTATATTAAGGATACCAAACCACTTCACATTGTCCTAAACTATAGACCACAATAAACCTCGGGAAGAAAATTTACCCGACCCGACAAAGGAAATGCTCCAAATTCCATTACGCAATATCATAAACCCAGGTTCGCAAATGAAGATCATACCAGAAAAGAAATGCAATAAAAAAAACAACAACTAAACATCAGTATGAAAGGAGACCTTGAATTTAGCGAGGGCGTTGGCATCGCGGTCATTACAAAACACGGTCCGGTGACCTGGCGCCTGTGGCTGAACCTTTCCGAGGCGAACCGTTCGAGACGACGACACACGCTCCACCGACTGTGCCCCGCCGTCGCCGCCACCTCTAGATCCCCTCCATCCGGCCATTTTTCCACCCAAAATTCCTCCGATCGCCCACCGGGAACCAGATGTAGGAAAACCCTAGATTATTTTTTCAGGCAATCGCCACGACTGCTCGCTTGATTCAAATAGACAAATAAGAAAATAAAATTAAATAAATAAACAAACGGAGAAGATGAAGACCAAGAAAAAAACTAAAAATTAATAAATGCTGAAATTTTGCTGTAAATGGTTGAATTGTATTGGGGAGGGAGGGTGGTTCAGTTCATCCCCATTTGGGGCCCAAATTTAATACGTCAATTTGTATATATAAATCCGCGTGGAAGTTTTCGCCACGCGTGGATTCGCGCGTGGCGAACTAGCTCAAAATAAAGTAATAGCTAGTGTTGGCTCTTTGAGGGACACGCGCGGAAGAAGGAGAGTGGGGGAGTGGGGTGAGTGGCGGAGGGGAGGTGGATCACCGAGGAGAGAAACGGCGTCGTTCTGGAAGGTTTAAATAATTAGACAGTTGAGAATTGGAAAGTTCATCAGCAGTTTTGAGACGTCAGTTGCGACCAATTCAGAGCTTTACATGCATTAATTAAATTAAATTGATTTGTATAATATGAAATAAGTATATTATTAGTAATTAATTATGACCTAATAAAGATTCTTCATATCTTGGTCAACCCATGAATAATGGTAAGTCAACGTGGTTAGACTGGCAGATAACATGCCTAAAGCCAAGTTATCAATAAATCAAATTTATTTATTTCAATCATGTATTAATGTAATGTTGTTATGTAGGGTTGAATTTTCGTAGTTTTTTTTTTGTTTTTCTTTTGTTGTGTGTGTGAGGTTTGAATGGTGGATTTTATTTTGTAAATATTAAATAATAATTAGTGCAAAGATGGTAAGCATTTGAAATCTAATTCTTGATTCTAAGGTTGTCTAAATACTTGGCTGTACAAATTTTACCACCACACAAAAACTATATTTTCTCCAGCCGTTTATCATTAGGAAAAAAAATTGTCACCCTCTAACACAAAAGATCTTTTCTCCCAGAAAAAAGAAAAAAACAATGGACGAAAACGGATCCCCTCGACCCGTCCGGGGGCAAAACGGGTACGACAGGCTGACAACCCTCGAAACGGAAAACAACCACCACGTCGCCCCGGCTGCCGCCGCTGCCGGAGCAGAATCCGTCATCCAATACTGCTTCGACATCCACCACCAAATGGAATCTTCCGCCCGCCAGGTGGCGGCAATCGATTGGGACCGCATATTCATGTCCGCCTTCGTCACGATATCCCTCCTCCTCATCCTAACAGCCTCATTCTTCCCCTTCCTCAGCTCCGACGCAACAGCCGACCAACAATTCAGCCACAAATTCGTCCTCGACCAATTAACCATCTCCGAATTCCAAGCCTCGCCAGCTCGGGTCACCGGAAAGTGCCACGTCACCCTCAACGTAAGCAACCTCGGCGACCGGAGCCTCTACCACGAGAACTCCGTTCTCTCAATCTTCATGGACCACGAGCTGCTGTGGGTGACGAGGACAGGTGGCTTCTTCCTAGAGGTCGGTGATCAGATCACCTTCAACGTGAGCATGAACACAACAACGGTTTCCGTTCCAGCTTCATTCGTTCCGACAGCACTTTTAGAAAGTCAAGAATTACATAAGCCCCTTCGATTCAAATTGAAGTACGATGGAATGCTGAGAGAGGGTTTGGACGCTTGGCATGAAGAGCGGTCCCACATTTACGTCGTGTGTGGTTGGATCGAGATGCAGTTCGTTGACGAGACTGTGCTCTCGGGCGGGCCCGCTAGCTGTTCTCTAGAGATTTTTTGATGAAGATCATGGAAAATGTGCAAGGAAATCTTTTGTTATTACATCCCCAATTTGCAAATAGTAATGACAAAGATACAATAAAATTAGAAGTTATTATTGTGTATGTATATATATTTTTATTCTTATGATGTTCGATCAAAGCCGCCACCGATCTGCATGTGTAGCCATTCTGGTGACGAGGCTCTATCGTATTGATCGCGCGTACTTTGAGAACCGAATGCAATGCCAGGAGGTTCGAAAGCTTGCTCAGCAAACTGCAAAAAATACGAGGTAGGTGTGAGTGAATTTGGAGTCGTTCGTTAAATATAAGCAAATTTGGACAGTTTGTTAATCATGTGTTAAGAACCTACCTCTTTTGAAGAATATCCATCAATGACATCGCTTGGATTTACTGCTTCAAGCTTCATCGAGAGAAACTGTGCCACGTGTCATTCTGTGATTAGTGCTTAATTCAACTGGATTGATCATAACATATGGAGACATATAACTCTCTCTCTCTCTCACACACGCACACACATACACAACGAGAGAGAGAAGGGAGAGATGTACCTCAACCTGACGTTGCAATGATTGAATATAATTTATAATCTCATCGAGCACTAGAGCTTTGCCGGTAACCTAGAATAAAAAAAAGGTGGTCTATAAGTTTGTAATTTTCGATAAATGTCGGTCAAATTTGAAGGAGTATCTAGCGGGAAGCAGGTCAGAGACAAATTTCCTTAAACTAAATAAAGTGTATCTCTGCACATATAACCATTATAATGAAAATTTAATTAGATTACCTGTTAAAGATCATTAACATGAACGGAAAACTCTGATTTCAGTTTAAGGAAGCATGTCTATGTCCTTACAAGAATTTAGAGTCTCGTGGAATATACATCAATTGGGATAGCCTTTCCTCTGTGTAATAAGTCCATAACATGGGGAGCCGTTGCCTTGATTTTTACGAACACTATCCTAAATTTACCACTTGCCTAAAAAAAAAAAATCCTACGAAATGAAAGATGAAAAGCACAAGCCTAATCCTGATCTCACGCCGACCAATATCAGAAGTGGATGACATAACATATTTCAACATTTAATCGAACAAGAGAAAAGAAGAAAAACAGATCACAGTATGTCGAAATGATTTCGATACTCACTTTATTACAACCTGGTACTAAATCTTGGAGCATTTTCATCCTCTCGCTTATCTTTTCTCTCCTAGCCTACACCAAGAGTTCGCAATAAGAAAAAAAACACATATAAATACCGCTTAAAATGGATATTCATCAACTAGGATATATATAAGCTTACAGAGTTTATAATATTCATTTACTTCTAGCAATTGATATATATCACGAAATGTTCCGAAAAAAACATTTTAACATAGATAATTAGGGAATTGAAGTTAATCATTACTCTTTCAGCTAAACTGTGACTATCGGTAGCTTGACCCCTTCTTGCTCGAACATGGATATAGTCTAGCTTCGGCGGCTCAGCTGGTTTCGCCTGTTGTTTTGATGCCTTGTCCAAATTTTCCTCCACTTGTATTTTATTTTCAAAATCATTATTTGACCCTACTGCCTTCAGCTTTTTAACACCACCTTCATTCTGCTCAAAGCAAGATAATATTTACCATACAATAGCTATGAACAAAATGAATAAAAGAGATAACACTGGTCTGATTTCATGTATATCCTATGAAAAAAATTAACTCGATTTTGTTCAATACATGCTTCCTTCACATGCCAATTGATTAACTTCAGTTCTCACATACACGAAACATTAATTAAAAAAACTCAATTAAGAAAATTTATGAATGAAATTTTTTGAATTGATTAGGTTTGAGACAGTACCAAAACATTGTTGCTGCTGCAGCCATTATTGCTGTTGCTAGTGGAAGCTCCTCCCTTAGCGCAGTGCTCATCTTCATCCCGCCGCTTCCTCGGGTTACGATTCGATCCATGATCCGTCAACATCGGATCCAATCCCAAATCGTACGGCGTCGCATTGGCATTCATCTGAAAGCCCGGCCAGATCTCCGCGAAGTTATAAACACCTCCTCCTCCTCCTCCTCCGCTGTCGTTCATCATCGCCGCCGCCCCTTGCGAATCCATACTCCGACCCGACCAATTTCTTCAAACGGACACGCGCATTCGTGTTTTAGATACAGCGCGTACGGTAATCGGCGGCGTAAAGTAGCTTCGTTCAGCGCGTACAGTAATCGGTGGCGTAAAATTAGCTACTACCGGTACTGCTACTTCACTCTAGAGAGAGAGTAGAGAGAGAAAGAGAGTTGAACAGAAGTGACTTTGGAGTGAGGTTTTCTTCCTATTTTAAGGCTTCCATAATATGCTCCTCTACAGCTGGCTCACCTACACCTGGTCCACCTTTAATTAATTGAATTCGTGAATTAAATAAATTACTTTATTAAATGCGTGGCTAATTCACAAATTAATTATGCTAATTAGGATTATGGAATTATTTGTGGAAAAGTTAGTGATGATGATAGCTTTTATGTTGGGAAATCAGCTTTTTATGAATAATCTGAAATCTGGAGTGATAGTGACTGTGCCATCATTTATCGGCCGCCATATCGGTATCGGTTATAAATCTTTACGATTTTGTTGAGGCGGTTTGGAATATCGGTTTTTTACTGCGAGGCGGTTTGCGGCGGTTTTTTGGCGGGTCAAACCGATATATCGGTCAACAAATCGTTTTTTTTTTTTTTTTTTTAATTAAAATGAAAATATGTTTTGTTTATTTGTTTTTCTCCAATTCTTTCAACTTCCAAAACCAAACCAAGTACTACCCCGCAATTTATGCTTTGTTGTGTTTATATTAATTGTTGATGTGAAAGACTTGCGTAGTATTTGTATTTTGTAAGAATCTTTTATTATATTATGATCTTATTATTTTTAATTTTTTGTTATTTATTGAGTAATTAGAATTATATAATAACATATGAATGATAGGATAGAATTATGTTTAAATATTCTTTTATATATATTTTGAGTATTTACAAGTAATATTTAGAAATATATTACACTAAATTTAAAAACCGATTTATTTCCGATTTATCTCCGATAAATCACCGCCGCGCCGATTTATCGTGTGACGGTCCCTAACCGTCACGTACCCGATAACCGCCTTTTAGAACCTTGATTTCAGTAGCATTTTAATGACCGTAATATATAATCCAACCGTCCTCGAGAATTGAATATTGGTCAAACATTTCAACTTATAATTATTTGTTCTTGACCATGGTAGATGTATTTTATTGCACAATTAGTGGTCTTAATTATTAAAGTTGGCCCAAATCACAAACATTAAAATGGTCTCAACTACAATTTTCTTTAACAGCGGGCTTGTTCTGGGCCTGGGCCCGACCGGATTAAATGGGCTATTTTACCATAAGTGTAGATTGGTATTAATTTTTATGTTAGTTGTTTGTTAAAATTTACATAGTAATTATTATATAAATCATTGACTTGTTAATTCCGGAAATTGATATTCAAGCACAACAACTCCACTATGATGCAATCCTCACAACTGATTTGACTCACCAACTCATGCACAAACAATCAGTAAATACGAACACTCAGTCACTCTATTCAACCCTTAGTTTATTTCCCAACAGTGTTTAGCCAAAGCAGCCACAGCCTGAAGCGTAGGATACACTCCAGTGTTAAAGTCAACCGAATACGGCGATGATTCCATTAAGAGGTCGTCGGAAAAAAGACAAGGTTGAACGGATGTATAGCTTAATTAGGATTTGTTCGACCGGGTGGGTCTTCTACTGCCACGTGTCTCTTTTTTGTATTTTATAATAAATTCCCCGCTAGGGTTTACCTTTAGGGGTTTTAGAAAAATAAAAAAAAGAACACGTGGCAGCAGAAGACCCACCCGGTGTTTATCACCGGGTGTAGGGTCGAAGGAACCCTTAATTAGAATCAAGAGAGAATGTGTAAGTGAAGGAAAACCGTTGATTAACTCATTCAATTTGAACGGTCAAGTTCTGGTTTTGGTTTAAATTGATTTGGTCTTAAATTAAAGCGGCCCATTTCTTCGAGCAAGTAGTTGGTGGATGAGTTTGGAGTTTGGCCCAATCACAAAGTTTATTTTAAGCCCATTTCCAGCACATTAATTTTAAGCCCAGTTCGTTTTAAATTTAAAATTTTGAGACAATATAATATATATAATATACTATATATGTGATCCAAATCTGAAATGTTAAATGTCGTTTCAATTTTACTAATGTCGTTTGACTTCAACCTTATTTTGAAATATTTCTATTTCGATTTTGGCAAAATTCAAAACACGAAAATTGTAGTCATTTGGGTCAGGTTTCTAATCCAACTTAAATCCGATAAATTGGATGCCGTGTGACAAAGTTATGCATGAATGAGTCACATTTTGAATTTTAGATGCCTCAATAGTTGTGGGCAGCATCCATTGATTCATGTATATCTTTCTCGTCTGACATCCAATATTGGTGATTCAAGTTGGATTAGAAAACTAGCTCAGACTACTACAAATTCTATTTTTCGGGTTTTGCAAAATTTGGAGTTAAAAATGATCAGAATCACATTTGAAATCATAATTGTATTATTAAAGCTAGAACGACAAATATCGCTTCCCAATTCAAATTCAATTTCATTCCAATTGGCAGTACTCTATATAAGTACTGTATGTATTGATTTGATTTCCCAGTAATTACTGTATGTATAATGTATGGCGTGCGATTGGAATTAGGTCTAGTAATCAATGCCTGACTGTACATCTTCTTTTTTTATTGTAATAAATAAATAAATTCCAACTCAATAAAGTTATTACATTTATTGTAATCCACTACTATATGGTATTTAATTTTTCTATAACAAGTGAGTTTTCCAATGCAGATCTGAATTTATTTTACTATCTTTTTTAGTCTTTATGAGGAAACCAATATTCAAATAGAGTGTGCGTTAATATACAAATATTAATGTTTTTAAACATTATTGCTTTGAAAAAAAAAAAAGTGCATTCACATATAATTAGGGGTGTAAATGAGCCGAGTCGACTCGACAAAAGTTCGAACTCAAACTTGAATTTTTCGAAATCGAGCTTTCTGGCTAATTGAGCCCAAACTCATTTTTAGTTGTTCCTGAGCTTGCGGGCTGGCTCACGAGTTTTTTATTTCTATTTTTATTTTTAATTTTTTATAGTAGTTCAAGAAAATGACACTTGAACATAAGAATCACAATAATAATATCTTAGAAGATTCTTATTGCTTAAATTTAGAAGCTATTTATATGTGGTATCAACTTCTCCACCATGCAATCACTCTGAATTGGCAAAAAATCTCATTTCATTTAAATAAAAAATAGTTTCTGAATAAGACATTTGTGGCGACAAAGTATAAATTTTTTATTTTAATTTCTAAATAATTATTGTTATATTTACATTTTTCTAATATAAAAGAAAAGTGAAAAAACAACAAGTGGGGCCCACAGAACACAAATAGTTGTTTTCCACAAGGTACACCTGAGTTGCCCAATCATTGAAGTTAAATAATTGGCTTAAATTTAGAGGGAAGTCTCTATTACCTGCTGGATAAATACATACACTCAATAAAATGTTGTACAAAATTTAATTTATATATTGCTGTCAACATAAATATGTGGCTCACAAACAGTATTGAAAGCTGAAACAAGTCACCCTGTGACAATTATTTTTCATAATTGTGATATCCAAAAAATTAAAATTCAAATTAATACTGCATCTACTTTTTACTGGGTTAATTACATTTGTAGGTAGTAATTTTATTTTTGGAGACAGTAAAAATAGGTTCAAGATGCTTACGTGGAGACACTACATTGAGAACACATGTGTCTTGGTGGTTGAGGTTTTTAATGACTTATAACTTTTTTACTGTGGTACTTTTACAATTTTACACTTGATGTGATAAAAGTCAACAGAAATATAATAATTATCATAATAATATATTTTAGGGCAAATTACGGTCACCCTGAGCTATTGTCAAATTACGAAAACCCCCCTTTTATTTGGGTAATTACAGCCACCCCCTCAACTATGTATTTATCTTACGAAAAGACCCCTCCAGAGGTAAATTTAGGGATGCTAATTCCGTAAAACCGGACCAAAATTTCGGTACGCCAACATTTCATACCGTTTACCGAACTAAATATATGATTTGGTTCGGTAAATAACCGAATTACATAAATTTTACGTAAAAATATTTAAAAGGAGGGGGGTGACTGTAATTACACAAACAAGAGGGGTTTTTTCGTAATTTGACCATACATCAGGGGTGGCAGTAATTTGCCCTATATTTTATATATTTGAATAACTAGCTCCCAATTATTATTTTTTATTTATATATTTCAGTGAAACAGAAGATGAAGAAAATTGAAGGTGGTCTGGGGGTGCATGATTAAGCTGTGCTGCTAAAACAGTGTAAAAACAGCCGCAATTAAAGAAGCAGCAGATGGGCCGGCCCACTTTTTACCATTCCTTAATCATTACCAACATTATGTGTACAAACAAAACCAATTTAAATAAGTTGTAACAAAATCCGAAATCCCTCAATTCAGAACCTCCATCCTTGGCGAGGCCCGATAAATATTTAATGGAGAAATGTAAATAATATTGACCTAACGGTCCGTTAGAACTGTATAAATAACTAAATAAGTTGTAAATGCCAAGCATACTCCGCTCTTATCACAATCATAAG